TCCTGGGCTGGAGCACATGCACATCTGGATCTCCATCCCATTATGCTTCATATACCTGGCTTCCATCCTGGGCAACTGCACAATTGTTTTTATCATTAAAACAGAGCCCTCGCTCCATGAGCCAATGTACCTCTTCCTGTCCATGCTGGCTCTGACGGACCTGGGTCTGTCTCTTTGCACACTCCCTACAGTGCTTGGCATCTTTTTGATCGGGGTGCGTGATATCAGTCAGGATGCTTGTTTTGCTCAACTCTTCTTCATTCACTGTTTGTCCTTCCTGGAGTCCTCTGTGCTACTGTCTATGGCCTTTGACCGCTTTGTGGCCATCTGTCGCCCCTTGCACTATGCTTCCATTCTCACCAACACAGTCATTGGCAGAATTGGCCTGGCTTCCCTGGGCCGCAGTGTAGCACTCATTTTCCCATTGCCTTTTATGCTCAAAAGATTCTCTTATTGTGGCTCCCTTGTCCTCTCACATTCCTATTGTCTCCACCAAGAGGTGATGAAATTGGCCTGTGCAGACATCAAAGACAATAGCATCTATGGCATGTTTGTCATTGTGTCCACAGTGGGTATAGACTCACTGCTCATTCTCTTCTCCTATGCCCTGATTCTGCATACCGTGCTGTCCATTGCATCCAAGGCTGAGAGACTCAAAGCTCTTAACACCTGTGTTTCCCACATCTGTGCTGTGCTCCTCTTCTACACTCCCATGATTGGCTTGTCCATCATCCACCGCTTTGGGAAGCAGGCACCTCATCTGGTCCAAGTGATCATGGGCTTTGTGTATCTTCTGTTCCCTCCTCTGATGAACCCCATCATCTACAGTGTGAAGACCAAACAGATCCGCGATCGTGTGACCCATGTCTTTTGTGACTAGCTGGGTCTAGTCTTAGAGTCATTATTTCCTTAAATGTATCCTTACTTCTCTATCTTTGTAATATCTAATGTGCATAAAATGAAGGAGGCTTTTACTTATTTACTAAACAGATATATACATAGGATTATATTACTCATAATAAAGAGAAGTTGATATAGAAGCAAAAAGAAATATCTTCCTCCAGCAGGGGGAAGAGAGTGTCAAGAAAGGTTTCCTTGTCTTGGGAGCCTTAAGGGGACATATAAGACTTGGGAAGTCAAAATAGGAAATTACAGTCCAGTCTGAAGGAACTGCATGTGAAAAGCTGAAGGTGTGAGAGAAGAAATGCATTCAGGTGTGAAAAGAAAAGCAAAGGTGTGAGAGAAGAAATGCATTCAGGGAAATATCTGAAGTTGTTTTTTGTTGTCGCTGTTTTCTCACATGTCAGAAAAGAGTAGAGAATGGGGTGGGGGTGAAGGACTAACTGACTATATCAGAACGATCAGGAGTCAATGAACAAAAAGAGACAATTTTTTATGCCTTCTTATCTCTGAATTACAAGCGTACCTCCACATTGACCAGGTTTGAAAATAATATATATATCTTTTGAGTAATATATGTCAATACAATATTTGTAATTTTGACTTGAGGCATCTCTGAGGAAAGCAGGCGTGGATAAGATGCTATCAAGAAAAGCTTTGAACAGCTAAAGGGAAGTATGAGGATGTCATGTTCCTGCACAGTTTTAGTGCAGGATCAAGAAAGGGCGTGGCAAAGAGCCAAAGGCAAAATCTTCCTCTATGAGGTTTATATAGAGCCAGTTCTCACATGAGATTGGCCACTTCAAGACTATCTAGCACATTTGTCATTTAACTCATCCTGTGTGTTTCTGCAATGATGGGTATATCATGCAGAAGATCCTAGGTTACTTAAAAAAAGAAAATAGAATAAAATGGAATACTTATGTGAGTGTCATGGTTAGTTTATGTCTTAAAAAGAGTAGAAACTATACTTTTAGGGGAATGGGAAATCAATGAACTAGTTAGCTAAGAAAGTAAAAAAACAAACACATTTACATTTAAAGAGATTCACTCTGTCTATAATATAGAAAATTAATTAGGGAAGAATTAATAAGGAAGTGTAAATAGGAAGCCATTATAGTCATCCAGAAAACAAATCATCATAACCAGTACCATGGTAGAATGAGTGGAGGGTGAGATTGATGCAAGAAGCCAAATTAGGAGGCCATAAAAAGTTCTTGCATAAGATTATGATTTAAGATGATTATTCTTGCAGAAGAGATGGAAAGAACAGGAACAATGGTAAATGGTTGAGAGAGAGAGAGAAAGAACAGAAAAACTGATGAGTGGTTGAGAGAGAAACTTCTATAGCAATTGTGTCAGTTTGAATGTGGAAAATAAGGTGAGGTAGTGAACACTGATGTAAGAATAATTTGGGTTGAGAGAAGTAACAGGGGAGGTAAGTCTTCTGGCCTTTAACAAAGCAGACAGCAACATTTGGCAAACACTACAGCTTTTGCTTTGGGCTTGGTGTGATTGTGGCAGTAGGAAAGGAGCTGCCTAGGGCTGCGATCATGTGCTCTAACCTGAGGTGATTGACATAGTATATTTCAATCCACTGTTCACAGAGATGCTAACAGATTTTGAGCTTAGAAAATGAACAGTACTTTTATTCAATGATGGTTACTCATGAATTCACAAACTGACAAACATATTTTTCAGGCCCTTCTTTGCCCAAGTATGTGTTAAGCAATGCAAAAATAAATAAGACATACAGACATTTATAAGTCATGGGATTTATAATTTAACAAAGGCAAACAATATTCAAACAATTAAAGGTTAATGATTGTTGAAATTATGTTGTAGTGCCCAACCAGCATGGCTCAGTGGTTGAGTGTCAACCTATGAACTAGGAGGTCATGGTTGGATTCCCAGTTCAGGGCACATGCCAGGGTTCTGGGCTCAATTCCCAAGGTGGGGCATGCAAGAGGCAACCGTTCCATAATTCTCTCTCATCATTGTTGTTTCTGTCTCTCCCTCTCCCTTCCTCTCTGAAATCAATAAAAATGTATTTTTTAAAAAAAGAAAGTATGTTGTAGAAATCAGTACACTGTGAAAGAAAACACAATTTAGATATAAATTTGGTATACTTAGAGCAAGAAGGTGTTAGCAAACTAACAGGCGATGTATATTTAAGCTACATCCTGCTAAGCTAATTGGGAGAAAGAAAAGTGTTGAGGAAATGCTTTTGTTTTAAGCATAGTAAATCCTCCCCCCCCTCCCATCCTACTAAGATTTTAATGTCTTAATTCTTAAAATTTGTGAATATATCACCTTATCTCATAAAAGGATACTTTGCACATGTAATTAAATTTATAGATTTTTGAGATACATAGATTATCCTGGATTACTCAGGTGATTCAACATAGATAGCTTTTCCTGGCTGTGGTCAGAGGGACATCTGACTTTAGAAGGAAGGTACAGAGAGATGTAATTTCACTGGCTTTGAACATGAAAGATGTGTGCCAAGAGTCAAGAAATATAGGTAACCTTAGGAGCTGGAAAAGGCACTTGATCCTCCTCCAGTGCCTCCAGAAAAGAATGCAGGCTTGTCAACAGCCTGATTTTAGCCCACTAATACATCAGACGTCTAACTTACAGAATTATAATGTGAGTTGTTTTAAATCATTGTTTATAATAATTTATTATGCAACAATAGAAAACTAATATAGTAGCATTCTGACATAAAGCACACCATAAGAAAAGCTTTAGGTGTAACATGGTGATGTACTTGTTTTATAGTGTTGAAGTACAAGGCCGAGTATTAACAGATAAGGTAGTGAGAAAAGCAGGTATTGAATGATGGAAAGGCTTTGTGCATATAGAGAGCCTTGCCATTATCTCATAACTTTTTGGATAGCTATTGAAAGGTTTCAAGTGTGGCAATATTTGCCTTTAAAAAGATATTTCTAAGAGTTAATCTTAATGTTCAGGATGATAGGCTAATGCTGGGGAAGTTTTAAATTTGAATTAAAACAGCTGCAGTTGGAATAAATGGGGGAAAGAGAATCTTACTAATGGATGATCTTTACAGTTTGATGATCAAATCTTGTTTAAAATAGGTATTTACTTTCATGCCTACACCAAAGCGTTATTGTCTTGCAAATGAGGACAAGGCTGTTTTTGTAGTCATGACAAATAAGCACCATGCCAGCCTCCTATAGAAAACTCTATATACAGAAAAACCAGTCACATATGTCTGTACATAGTTGCTTAGTTGAATTTGCGAGCTATGTATAAATTATGTTTGTCTTATAACAGCAAAACAATAACAGAAACCCTAAATAATTTCCTTCTCCCTCTCTCTGCCCATTCTCAGAATCACCACTTTAGTGGAATTATTACAATAGTTTTCTGTTGACCTCTCTTCTTCATCTCTCTCAAATCAGTCCATGTAACTCGTGCTTGCAGATATGCTATTCTTAAAGTTTGATTTATCTCGTTAGTGTTTGTTGTAGAGATGAAATTGCCTGTTCAGGACCTCATACATTTAGACATTTCAAGACTTTTTTAGGTACTCCAAAATCTGCTTTATTCATATTATACAAAATTTTTTTCACATTATTTGCCAAATTATACTCTCTATTCTAGTCAGACCAACATCCTTCATAGCTGCTATGTTCCCTGGTAGTCTACTTCTCCTTCATAGTATGGAGTGACTGTGCATTGTATACCTACAAATTTAATAGATGCTACTTGAAAAATAATATCAATCTTTCCAAATTATACTCCTTCTTTAAGGGCTGAGTCAAACCCACCTGCTCCATTACATAATGTTTTGTTTCAACTGCTCTTAAAATATTCATTAAACCTCTGTGAATCATATCATATGTCACCTGATTATTTCATCTTTCCTATTTAATGTTGTATTCATTATTATAAATTCTGTACAGCACAGCTTTTCACACTTCCCCTCGGTTTTCCATGAGATAATGACCACTGTGGCGCTGAAAGCATAGTAAGTGCCCATAAATACTTACTGTTTGATAATTTATTACCTCAGTATTCAAGTTCTTATCTCCTACCTGTGGTCAACAACTTCCCCAAGGCCTTCTCCCAGATTTGTTGAGTCTTTACACAATAAACTATGGGGTTCATTAGGGGTGGCAGCAACAAGAATATATCTGCAATAAGGATTACAATGAGGGGGCTTTTGTGTTGGGCAAAACGGTGCATGGCAGCCAGGGTGATGATGGGTACATAGAAAATGAGCACAGCACAGATGTGGGAGACACAGGTATTGAGGGCCTTGAGTCTCTCTGCCAGAGATGCAATGCTGAGTACAGTCTTTAAGATCATTATGTAAGAAAGAACAATTAATGCCAAGTCCAGCATAGTACAGAGAGCAACAAAGAAGCCGTAGATCACATTGATCTTGTTGTCAGAGCAAGCCAGCTTCATGGTATCCTGATGCAGACAGTAAGAGTGAGAAAGGAGATTCTTCTGACAATATTTTAGCCTCCTTAGAGTGAAGGGGAATGGAAGAACCAAGAGAAGGCTCCTGGTGGCTAAAATCAGTCCCAGTTTAGCAACTCTGTTGTTAGTGAGGAGAGAAACATATCTCAGGGGATTGTGGATGGCAAGAAAACGATCCAAAGACATGACCAGAAGCACTGAAGATTCCATGACAGTAAACCCATGGATGAAGAATTCTTGAGCGAAGCAGGCATTGTGTGAAATTTCCATGGCATTAAATAAGAAAATTCTCAGCATGGTAGGAAGGGAGGAAAATGACAGGCCCAGGTCAGAGATGGCCAACATGGCAAGAAAATAATACATGGGCTCGTGAAGTGAGGGCTCTGTCTTTATGATAAAGAGAATGGTGCTGTTGCCTATGATGGCAACCAGGTACATGAGGCAAATGGGGATGGAGATCCAGATGTGGGCATGTTCCAGTCCTGGGATTCCAATCAAAAGAAAAAGCTGGACTTCAGAGTTATTGAAAATAGACATGAGTGGAAATATGAGCTCTTTATCC